CTTACTATCGCCTTCCCCTTTTACTTCAATGCATGTCACCAAAATGACTACATTTCAATTAAATCTCAAGATATTTGCTCAAATTTAAGGTAAATTAATTTGAATCTGAATTTCGCTCATTTCTACATAGCAGTAAGAATCATTTATAGTCATTTTTGTGGTCGGTATTTAGAGAAGCAATTTATATTCATTTGGCAACATTAACCAATTAATTTAAGGTTCCTGGCTTAGTGAGCAGCACAGGTAATAAAGTTTATTTGGTCAATTAGGAATCAGATAAGAAACCACTTACAATGTAAATATCAAAGTCGAATCACAAAAGAGATTTGTCTGAATGTATTAAAGCAGAACTCCGGGAAAACATTTTTTAACCCTTGCAGTGAGGCTGCCCCTGCACTGCAAGGATTAAGTCCTTGTTTTTGTCTGGGTTCAAAAATAACAGTTATACTCACCCGAGCATCTGAGCCAGCTTGCACTCAGACCGGTCCTTTCCATGTGTCTCTTCCTCTACTGCAGCAATGGTATGTCCCTGGGCGTCCTCACGTTCTATACACTGTACAAGGATTCTTAGACCGCTGCAGCGAAGAGGAAGCGAGGCGGAACAGAACGGTCTAAGAGCAAGCCGGCTCAGAGGATCAGATTAGTATAACTTTGTTATTTTTGAACCTAGACGAAAGCAAACACTTAACCCTTGCAGGGCACGAGTAGCCCAACTGCAAGGGTTAAAAAAACATTTCCCCAGAGTTCTGCTTTAAATATTTTGGTTCCATAATGTGGCTTTTGTGCTGGTCCCTTTTCCCCATGTCAACAAAGAATAGCCAGTTTAAAATCATGTGTTCATAGTTGCCAACATTTGGAAATAATTTGGAGGGACACATTGAAGGGGCCACCTGGGGGCATGGCCAATAAAGTTGCACCTTTCCCGTTATGCTTTGCTATGTTTTAGACAAAATAGGGCCTTGGGTACAGTAAAGAGAAAGTATGAGTAGAATAAGTACCATTGGTGTCACAGAAAATTATATAGTCCCCCGCCCCCGCGAGCACGCACGTCTTTACATAAACACACTTTGGGTGCACCTACATACGAAAACATTGATTGCGCTACACATGTAGCGTATCGACGCACACGCCAGAGTAAGAGCAGCAAGAGCAATAATTCAAGGGCCAATATTTACGTGTATCTCTAAACTGATGGCCTGTAGGGGCTTTTAAAGCGTTGGGTGCGCCTACGTACAAAAACGACGATTGCGGTACACATGTTGGGTGTCACTGCACACACCAGAGTGAGAGCAATAATTCTAGGGCCAATATTTATGTGTATCTCTAAAATGATAAGCTGTAGGAGCTTTTAAAGCGTTGTCTATGGACTTTTTGGAGTACTGAATTTTGTCGCAGTTTCACGGACGTACACATTTTTTAACATGGGCATGTTGGGTATCTATTTACCAGTTGTAACCTCATCTGTTATATTTTGCAAAAAAAGGGTTTTATATATTGTTTTGGAGCACTAAATTTAACTTAAGTGTATTTATCACTACATTTTTGCATTTGATAATAAGTTGCGCTAATGTCGTGCAACAGAAAAATTTGAAACAGCCAACATTTTATTCTACAGGCTTTCAGAAAATATATAATGTTTGCGAGTTTCACGTAATTGTTAGGCCTAAAATGTGGAGTATAACATGTAAGCAAAAAATGAAAAAAGGCCTTGATCCTTAAGGGGTTCAGGCAATGTGGGGTGCCTGGTACACACTGGCACCCTATGACCGCAGTCAGTCTCCTACCCAAGAAAAAAAGACAATGTGGGTCTGGCGTACACTGTACATAACATATATTTCTTAGGCCCAGTTGAACCCAGCGTATATGAACTTATTCAACCTTCTTATCACTATAGTCATCTGAAAAACAAGTAACATAGGGTGCCGAGTAAATACTGGCGCCCTATGACCACAATCAGGCCTCAGTTCCACAGTGGAACGCAACGGCCGTCAGACGCCGGCAGACCCTGGCCAATCAAGGCGGCCCTATTTATACAGGGGAAGAGCATAGCAGGGGCGTTCCACTAAACGAGTGTGCGCCCAGCTATCTCCCCTGGAACGAACCTACAAATCAGCAGACGGAGGGAACCTCTCCCCTACAGCCTTGTTCAGGGATCTACCCGTGAAAGGATCTTTCTCCGCAATACCGCAAGTACCCCTTGTCAGTGTGCTCTGGTACTAGAGACTGCTACCATTACGTTTACCAGCTGCATGTAGTGATTGTTACATTACTGCTATTAGGAAAATCCTGCTTTGCCATCACTGCAGTATATACTGTGCTCATAACGGGGATGTACCTATAACTGCTGTATTAACTGCTCGCACATACTGCTATCAACCTCATACTGGTATTCCATGTATTGCTTCATGTGACGTGTGCTGCATTCCTACCATTACAAATTGTACTTGTATGATATCGAGAAACACTTTCGTGCTAAATATGATTTCAGTTTAGATCCGGTGATAAATGATGCTGGTAGCTTCAAAACTCTCCGTTTTATGATTGAGAGTGGCACTGAAGCTCCGACTGATTTCACCCATTACGAGATTCAATCAACTAGGAGACGTGCTCCAGTTGATGCAACCCGACTCTGCAGTTGAGATCCTGACAGAGCAATTAGGCGCATTACAGCCTGCTGGGGACCTCCTCCTTTCCAGTGCCCGCAGAGACAGGCACAGGACAGCCCTGGAGCCCGACACCCACCCGCACAGCCCAGAGAGCCCGTAACGCACCCACCTGTAGAGCCCGGCACCCACCTGTAGAGCCCGGCACCCACATGCAGCCCCGGTGAGACCCAAATGCGGCCCTGGTGAGACCTGCACACAGCCCTGGTGAGATTGCACACAGCCCTGTATAATTGCTGTATAATCATGGATTGATGGGATCTATGATTATACAGCAATAGATAATGGCAACCGACTATAGAGGACTACATATCTCAGCAAACCATGATTGCTGGTTGTCGTTCTGCATTGCTGAATAATCATGGATTTGTGAGATTTGTGGTCCTCTATAGCTGGTTGTCATTCTCCATTGCTGAATAATCATGGATAGAGTTAAGCTGGCCATTCACCTATAGATTATCTGCAGATTTTCTGGTCAGATGGAAAAAGTGCAACAGATTCCTCCATCTATGTTAACGGTGTGGATGGAGGAATCTCCCACTGGGCCAAGCTTCAGTATCTTGCTAGTTGACCCCGCTGGCTCTCAAATCACTTGACCAATGCCTGCATCCAATTAGAATGCTCAGATATTTTGACAGCCAGCACGACCGACTAGCAAGATACTGAAGCTTCATCGAAAACCAGGAAACAAAAACTGTTAGGCTATAGATACACTTTATTGTAATGTAATTCATTTTTAATAATGCATCATGCTAACATTGTGTATGAAGGCCATGTAAGGGCTGCGTGTTATAAATAAATTTGATGGAAGAGTGGCCAGAAAAAACACTGCTAACGCAAAATAAATAAGCAAACACGTTTGTTGTTCGCTAATAGGCATGTGGAAGACTCCCCAAACATATGGAAGAGGGTACTCTGGTCAGATGAGACGAAAATTTAGCTTTTTGGCCTTCAAGGAAGTCACTATGGCGCAAACCAAAGACCTCTCATCACCCTAAGATCACCACAGTGAGGCCTTGTTCACACCGAAAGGGGTTTGTTCCAGAGCGGTAGCTGCACCTCGATCGCTCATGAAACTTCCCCCTGCGTTCTGGGGCGTGGTGGTGCATTGGATTCAATGGCACCGCTTCCACCCTGCCCGCAGTGCGATCAGACGCGTGGCAAAACTGCGGGCTTGCTCTATTTTTTCGTTTGCAGTGGAACAGAACGCAAAGTTTTGCATCGCGTCCGATCCCACTGCGGGGGGGAGGGGGGGCTTGGGCGTAGAAGTGGTGAAATCTAATTCAATGGCTACCGCTCTGGAATGCACCGCTTTCGGTGTGAACAAGCCCTGAAGCATAGTGGTGGCAGCATCATACCGTGGGGATGATTTTCATCAGTAGTGACTGGCAAACCGGTCAGAATTGAAGGAATGATGGATACAGTGAAATTCTTGGGGGAAACCTGTTTCAGTCTGCCAGAGATTTGAGACTGGAATGGACATTCCCCTTCCAGGACAATGACCCTAAGCATACTGCTAAACAACACTCAAATGGTATAAGGGGAAATATTTAAATGTCTTGGAATGGCCTAGCAAAAGCTCAGACCTCAACCCAATTGAGAATCTGTGACATGATTTAAAGACTGCTGTACACCAGTGGCTAGATGTGGCAAGCCTATAGAGACGTGCCCCAAGAGACGTGCAGCTGTAATTTCTGCAAAAGGTGGCTCTACACAGTATTGACTTGGGGGGTGAATAGTTATGCACCCTCAAGTTTTCTGTTTGTCTTATTTCTTGTTGGTATCACAATAAAAATAAACATTTAGCATCTTCAAAGTGGTAGACATGTTGTGTAAATCAAATGATACAAACCCCCCAAAAATCTACTTTAATTCCAAATGGTATTGCAACAAAATAGGAAAAATGCCAAGGGGGGTGAATACTTTTGCAAGCCACTGTACAAATACAGGGATTCAGAGCACACAGCTGACTACACAGGACAGCCCGGGAGCATACAGGGTACATGGTTGGATGACACACTTCACATCCATGGTGATAATGTATTATATATGGCTTGTTGTCACATTTTTTCATCCTTTGTTGTGTCTCGGTGCTGCTGATTTGTTGTTCCATAGTGGCTGGAGTGCCAAGGTTGCCTAGCCCTCCCCCACTCTCTCCAACACTTCAAAAAGTAAATCTTTATGTGGAGTTACACTTAAGTTTAACACACAACTCTGCACAAGCAGCGGAAAGCCACGCCCACCTATCTGTTACGCTCCCGTCAGATAAAAGCCCCGCCCTCTTGTCACCCAGGCCCTCCAGTCTACAATACTCTGCTGGGCCCCGCCCTCCGGTATTGGTAAATTATATCACGCGGCATAAGCTCCAAGCCCCGCCCTCCCCTGTCAGACTTCACGATACTGACGTCAGGGAGTCCTCGCGGAGTGATACAGCGCGATCCGTCCCCGCTGTCACTGCTCGGAGCCGCCTCTCAGCCTAACCTGACCTCACTCATTAGGCAGGTACGCCTCCCCGGCACAGGGCCCCTCCCACGCATCGAGGAAGTGAGGCCTCTTCGGAAACTGGCTGGATCCGGCTTTCGCGGGTCGAAGGCAATGGCCGTGATACTGGCTGCTGGTGTGCACAGAGCTTAGCGCTGACAATGAGCGAGGCAGTGCGGAGAGCGGAGTCCGGCACCCAGGTGAATGGTAACCCAGGTGTGGTGTGGCGCGGCGCCCTCTAGTGGTGATGTCCCGCTCATCGCTGCCCCCCTGATTGTGTTATTGATGACCTGTGCTTGTCTGGGTGTGTGCCCGGGCTCCTCCCTCTGTACAGAAGTGGGCGGGGACTCTCAGCCTGGAGGACAGTCTGTGCTCTGTACGGATGACAGCTTAAAGGGGACCCTCCGCCCAAAAAACTGAAAAGTCCTGGTGTATGCAGCATTGTATGCTGAGCCCAAGACATCATAAGGGGTAAGTTCACTTTCCCAAGTGAATTTCGGAAAATAGAATTACCTGCTCAAATGTGTCTCACCTCCCTGCTATATTTAGCTATACTTACCTTTCAGCGAACGCTCCTTTCCCTCTGCCGGTACGGGTGCACTATTCATACCCTGTACTGCTATCCAGCGCAGCCATGTGCTATGGATTTTTTATTTTGCTTGCAAATTGTGAAATCACCCGACCGCGCTGACAAATGAGAAGCGTTTCTGATTATGCTGACCAATGAGCAGTGGATCATGCTAAGAAGCTGACCAATCAGCAGTGGTTCATGCTCAGAAACTGACCAATGAGCAGCGGTTCATGCTAAGAAGCTGACCAATGAGCAGTGGTTCTTGCTCAGAAGCTGACCAATGAGCAGTGACTCTTGCTCAGAAGCTGACCAATGAGCAGTGGTTCGTGCCAAGAAGCTGACCAGTGAGAAGTGGCTCGTGCCAAGAAGCTGACCAGTGAGAAGTGGTTCGTGCCAAGAAGCGGACAAGTGAGCAGTGGTTCGTGCCAAGAAGCGGACAAGTGAGCAGTGGTTCTTGCTCAGAAGCTGACCAATGAGCAGTGGTTCTTGCTCAGAAGCTGACCAATGAGCAGTGGTTCTTGCTCAGAAGCTGACCAATGAGCAGTGGTTCATGCCAAGAAGTTGACCAGTGAGAAGTGGTTAATGCCAAGAAGCTGACCAATGAGTAGTGGTTAATGCCAAGAAGCTGACCAATGAGTAGTGGTTAATGCCAAGAAGCTGACCAATGAGTAGTGGTTCTTGCTAAGAAGCTGACTAATGAGTGCTCGCAATTTGTGAGCGAAACTCAAAATCCATAGCGCAGGGCTGCGCTGGACAGCAGTACTGGGTATGGATAGTAGACCTGTACGGGCAGAGGGGAAGGAGCGTTCCCTGAAAGGTAAGTATAACGGGGTGTAGAGGGGGCCAGATTTGTGCTGGTGATTCCATTTTCCCAATTTCACCTGGGAGAGTGAACGTGACCTTTTAAAGTCATTTGTAAATAAAAAGATTTATTTTGGTATTCACAATTAATGTAATTCTACTTCCTGGACTATGGAGGCACTCTATGGAGGCACTGGTGACGTACACAGGGCCTCTTAGCTTTCTCCTGGGAAGGTGACGCCACCACTGTCTTCCAGGGACATCCTGTCTGTAAACTGAGATCTTACAAAATTTAGGAGAAAAATATTTTTTCCCCCTCAAACGTAGAGCCGAAAACAAACTGCCGGATTGCGTGTAGCACATGTATGAGATCTGGTGCAGATTTCACCGGTGGGCAAGCACTGAAATCAAGGAAGAAGAATCTGGGCAACTATGACTTCTTTTTTCTTTAAAGAGCTATAGAGAGAGTGAAATACTCATCCCCATATTTGGAGCCGACGCGTGACACTGCGTCTGTCACACACCGGCTCTATAGATCGAGAACTGAGTGATCGCATACTGCTGACTGCTCAGTTCACGATCTTCTCCCCGCTGAGAGTGGTCACTGTCAGTTCCCCCTCCCCATATGGGGCGGGCACAGCTGGCTCCAACTATAGAGAGGCAGAGCCAGCTGTCAATCAGGCAGTGGGGTGGATCCTGACAATATTATCGGGATATTTCCTGTCTGCAGCGCGGCTCTGCGCTGTCAGCATATAGCAGGCAATAGTGCTAATTTAATTTTTGGCAATTTAAGGGGGGAGGGGACTGTCGTGTTTCACACGGGAGCTACCGTAACATATTATATAAGACTGCTGCGCATTAGATGTATAAGAGAAAAGGAAAGTATGACACATTTTACAGACGTGCATTTCCATATGTTTGTTACCGTATTAAATATAGAGATTTGTAGAGTAGCCACTAGATGGAGCTCTCCGTGCGTTTACCCCGCAGGAGGAATGCTCACCTTTTGAGGTGAGAGCCGTGCTGAATCTTCACTCTCTTGTAAAACGGAGTTTAAATAGACTACTATGGAATAAAAAACTGAAAGAGCGCCTCCATCGTGTAAAACCGTTTTAATTTAACGATCTAGAAAAAGTTACAATCGTACTCGCAAACAGATGGTGCTATACAAGCATGTAATAGGAATCAGCAAACGAAAATTGAGATTGTGTGTGTCCCACTCAGCCAACAAGCTGCATAGCTTCCCTGGTTTATGCGTTTCAGAGGGCACGCCTCCTTCCTCAGAACCAATGGGTGACAACTTTTAAACTCACTCTTAAAACTACAGTGGTGACCAATCACTGAATTCAATCACCTGAAACGCCAGCTAAATGTGCTGCCTAACCCCCCAGAAAACATATATGCACATTACTTTCAGCTTCCATCCATGGTGCCTAGACAATGGGGTGTCAAGATCCGGGGGATGCTGAGGATCCCAAATCTGACACTGCTGCACAGTACAGAAGCATCTTCTCATGAGATTTGGAATATTCTGCATTCCTTGGATCTCACCGGGCAAAAGTATATTTATTTGCTAACTTCTCTACACAGGGTTTCTTTTTTCTTACAGGTATAACGCAGCATTTTAAATGGGGATGGGGCCGGTATGATACAAGCAGGCTGGTTTAAAGAGACCCTGTCACTCACCTTACACCCGGTCTTTTGGTTTATGTGGTAGTGATATTGCTCAGTCTTCCTCAAAGTAAAAAATCGTCAGGTGCAATGAGAGCTCAGCTGGCCAGGCTGCCACTCGTCGGCTGATCGGGAGCAGGAGCACCGCTGTACACCGTTCTGACAGTGGAGCAGTGGTCCCTATGCAAGGGGTTAAAAAGTAAGCTACAGGCTAGGGGACCTTGCGGTCCGTGGAGTGGTCGGTGTGGCAGCCAGTAAACACCCAGTATTCCAGGGTTGTAGCGCTCCTTCTTTCCTTGTTTCTCAAAGTAAAAAAACACCCTTTCATGATATACAGCAGACTTATTTCCCATATGTTAATTGTACTGATTACTGTTCTCATTTCTCTTCCCTTAGTTACTTGCTAGGCTGGAAGGGCGAGCGTCACTGAAAGAACTTGAGCCTTTACTTTTTGCCAGCGTAGACTGTCCAGTTCATGGTAAATGTTGTACATGTGTTATTGATCTTTTTATTCTGCATTTCTGTTCTGCACACTAATATGGAAAAGCTGGAAAACCTACAGTGCATAAAAAGGTATATGATGGCATAATATAATGTAGGGATGCACTGATATAGTTTTTTCGGGATTGAGTACCGATACTTCCGCTGGTACGGAGCCGGCTTCCCAGGAAATCAGGAAGCCAGGCGGTGTGTTTGGCCGGCTTGATGCTGATTGGCTGGGAAGCTGGCTTCCCAACCAATCGGCATGGAGCCGATTTCCCGGCCAATCAGAAAGTCAGGCGGCGGGTAATGACCCGGGAAGCTAGTTTCATGCTGTATGGCCAGCCCGATGCTGATTGGCTGGGAAGTCGGCTCCCCAGCCAATCAGTATCGAGCCGCTTTCCAACCAATCAGGAAGCTGGGCAGCGAGTTATTGCCCGGCTTCCTGATTGGTCGGGAAGCCGGCTCCATGTTTCCTCGCGGCAATTTGCTCGGTATCGGCACAGATACCATTACTAGTATCGGTGCTTCCCTAACATAATGTCATGTAACAGTACACACAACTAGCAGAGGGTTTGATACTGAAAACTATTGTGCTCAGTATTTTGAGGGAAAACAACAACAGGCCTGACCTGAACGTGTTCTCATTGACCATAGGAACCAGTCTTCTTCCAGCTGTATTATTTTCCAGTGCCCATGCTGCCAGCTCTCTTTAAGCCCCTTTTACAGTAAATGTAGGACATTTTGTCCTCATAACATTAGTTGCATGTCATTTCCTGTGCAGTAACTCCTTCACATACAGCAGCCATTTAAATATGTTTAAAGCCCAACTACACTTTTAGTTTAAATCGGCTAAATATGTTCCATGTGTATCACAAATGTGTCTAGAGTCTTTGAGAAGCCTGCCCTCTGCCAGCATGCCTGAGAGTAGGACCCTTGCTCTTTGTTTGGAAGCAGCAGTCTCTCTGCAGAGGTCTGACACACCCCCTGCTAAAGCTCTCCAATCAGCAGCGAGTATAAGCTTTGCTGATTGAAAATCTATAGGTCACATTCAGCATGGGGCTGTGTCAGACCTCTGCAGAGAGACCAATGATTCCACACAGAACAAGGGTCCTTCTTTGCAGCATGCTGACGGGGAACAGGCTTTTCTACTCTGACTGCTTTAAAAACACTGTGAGACCCTCAACACTTTAGGAGGGATTTATCAAAACTGAAGCAGACACAATCTATAGCAGTGGCCCACAGCCACCAATCAGCTTCTATCTTTCATTTTCATAACTAAACAAACTGAAAATAGACCCTGAATGGTTAGTTTTAGCAACTGATCCAGGTTTGCTAAATCCCCAGCCCCCCCCCCCCCCCCCCCCTTCCATTTTATTTCGATGCACCTGGAATGTATCTAGTTGATTTACACGGAGTTCAGTTAAGCTTTAATTCTTCCCTTTACCTTCTAGTCACTCCCATATACCCTGAGAGTGAGGACGTTTAATGCTGGAAGCATTGACACAAAGAAGTGTTTTTGTTGTAGGCTTACAAGATGTTTAAGACAGCCATCTGATATTTTCCAGAGACACAATAAGCCAACGCTTGTCTATTATACACAGGTGATGTCATCGAATTTCACGGTGCCGAAGGCACAGGGAAAACGGAAATGTTTTGCCATCTCATTGCACGGTGCATCTTACCTAAATCGCAAGGTGGCTTACAGGTGGAAGTGATCTACATAGACACAGATTATCACTTTGATATGCTCCGGCTGGTGACTATTCTTGAACACAGGCTGGCACAGAGCAATGAGGAGACGGTGAAAGAGTGTTTGAGTCGCTTCTTCCTAGTCTGCTGCAACAGTAGCGTTCAGCTGCTGCTTACTCTCTATTCACTAGAAAACATGTTTTGCAGTCATCCCACACTGTGCCTATTAATCATAGATAGTCTTTCTTCCTTCTACTGGATAGACAGGAATAATGGAGGAGACAGCATTGCCAAACAAGAGTCTAACATGAGGAAATGCACTGAGCTTCTCAATAAACTGCTCAAAGAATACAAGCTGGTCCTTTTCGCTTCAACGCAAACACTCATGCAGAAATTTTCAAATGATTTCAACAAAGGATCTTCTCATTCCACCGAACCCACTGCTTCCATCTTGGACTTTAAGCCTTACCTCTGTAAGTTGTGGCAGCATGTCACTACGCATAGGGTCCTCTTCTCAAAAGACACAACGCCACCAGACAATGTCCAGACATTTTCCCTTACCTCCCGTCACCTGAAGACCAACAGTGTCACTAGACGCACGTTTGTGATAGCTGATTCTGGAGTGAAATTTGTTTCTTGATTTAGTGGTTATTGTAATGTCCTTCTTCATTTTTGTAATGTCTTGTTTAGACATCAATAGTATTCACAGTATCTGTGAGCTTTTTAAAAAAAAATATAAAAGCCTTGGACGACATTTCAATTAAAATGGGACTTCTTGGGGCCACACATTTCGTCTCTACCACACTCAGCAGTAGGGCTGCAACAACTAATCGACATAATCGATGATTGAAAAAGTTGTCAACTGTTCTACTCTAACTATAAATCAGTTGATTGATTTGTTTCATTAAAATGCTATTAAAAGTTTACAATATTTTATTTTTGTGTAATTTCCTTCCTTGGTTGTGAGTTGCCTCTGCAATTATATTCTTCCATAGAGCATCTACAAAATATAAAGTATAAATATAATATAAATGCCCTTTTCTTTCTATGAGGTTATTACCGATATTTAGGGATGCACAGATACTTTTTGAGTACTAGTGCAGATACTTTGCATTTTCATGAGAACTACCAGGGTTGCAGCGGTTGCAGCTGGGACCTGGCTCTGGCGCTCCACCACTGTCCTGAAATCATTTGTCTGTATTGTTTTAGAAAAACTGTCACATGACCATAAACAAAAATGTATCAGTACTTGTAAGTACTCGGCAAGTACCAGTACTCGTACTCGCAAAACTGGTATCTGTGCATCCCTTTATTTATAGTTATAAAAACAAAATCATACATTAAAACTGAGATGTACAAATCCCAGGAGCTCCGTGTGCTCCTTACAAATGACAGCTGCCTCCTAATTTTTACATTTTCTCTAGTGTAGTCTTGGAGCTCAGAAGTATCGGTGCATGTACTCGTACTTGTACCGAGTACTGTACTTGGTATCTGTGCAACCCTACCGATATTCGTAGCACCCAGTCTCCTTGCCTCTTTTAGAATTGTAAATGTAATGCGTACTTTTCAAAAATATTGCACTTACCCAATGACTCACTCCTCATGCGTTACATTTATCTTGCGTGAGAGAGGGCAGTCAGCTCAAGAAGAGCACTGTCTCCATTACCAACACAAAGCAGGAAACCAATTGACTTTGGTTTTGAAACTCATTTGCCTGATGAAAATGAAACTCCTTTTTTAAACAACTTGTTATCTAGAATTACCTTTTTAATGTACTGCACATAAAAAATAATAATTATCTAGATTCCATATGAATTCCTTTCTATGGCAATAGAGCTGCTGGACAAAATAACTTTGGATCTTGCAGTCACAGTCCTCAGCAGAAGGAGTTTCACCAGCAGCACCTAGTTGAGGGTAAAGTCATAAGTTCCTGGGAAAGTTGAGGATCCCAAATTTTGTTAACATCCACTCCTGTACAGTAAAGGACAGCGTGACAATGCTGGGGCCTGACAGATGGCCGCTCAGGCCCTAGGTGGAGGTGAGGCATGTTATGTGAATGTTTAGTGTATTGGTTTGCACCTATCTGGATTTAAAATCACTATTCATGGCGTGATGTATGCTCAATATACAACTCCTAACCTACCTTTACTACTGCAGAATAAACCTGTTTGCCGTTTTACTTCCTCTGGGAATGTTTGTTATAAGTGTGCATTTATAATTATTCATCTTTTGTGTAAACAAATTATGTTGTCATCATTAATCAAACGCTACATCAAAGAGGAATAGAATAAAGACTTCCTTTCTAAACAAGTCGTCAGTTTGTGGAACACGCAATCATTTCTGTATGCTTTTCAGCATATTACAAGGGAAACGGTATTATAATATTTCTTTCCAAAAATTCTGTTCAATAATATTTCTTTCCAGACATTTGTGTGTTGAAAGGAATGCCTGTTATTCAATTTGCCTGTTTGATTTCCAACTAAAAACATGATGACCACCAATGGTGTAGATGAAAGGCTTCATGCTTGTTCTCATCGTAACAAATGTGGTAATGTGCATTGTCATGCATTTTTTATTTGCTGAATTTTGGAAGGATCTACAGTGGAACGTTGATGGGGCTGCAAGTGCTCTTTACATAATGTGGACATACGCATAGCATGCTTGTACATTAGTCTGACTTATTTCTGAATTTGCCCTACTCGGTGCACAATCTCCATCACCCCTGGGTCTTCCACATGCCATCTTCTCTGCCACTTCTTCTGGACCTGCCACCTTCCTTTTTGGCCATTGGGTGGTTTCTGATGATAAAACTCCTGCATATGCACAAGCAAAGTCTCTTTTGCCAAAAAAAGCTCTACCTCCTAGAAATTTTCATATTTTAATGATTTTTTTCATATTTTAATGATAAAATGCAAGGCACCATTATAAACGTGCAGCATGCAGAATTTTATCACACAACTTCACATTAGAGTAAAAAAAAATGAGCCGAGCCCTCATAACCCTCTTGTCTTGAATTGTATTGAAACTGCCCTGTTTCCCTTTATTTGATAAAGTGCTGCTCAAACTGTTGGCATTATATAAAGCCTGTAGAAGAAATCCTGGATTTTTACTGTGAATTGTAGCAAATTACATGAAACTGGAGCCAGTGGCAACTCCTCTGCCATTTCACAGCACCAAATACTTACCTTTCCTTTGCTCCCCCATTGCTCTGTTCAGTGCTGGGAGCCTAATGAAATACCCAGAACTTCCAAGTATGGAGGAGCATGTGACTCACTCCATGTGACAGCACTGGGCCACATAAGATGTAGAAATTGAAGAGCCATACCAATTAAAATAGTCCAGATACAACTTTATTCCATTAGGGTCTAGGGACATTCAAGTAGAGTAGCTTCTGAACTAATTCAACTGCTGTGGCACTGCAATTCCTACATCTTTCCGATTCACAGTCGAGCCAAGGATACTGTGGAGATCCTTTGGATTGTGGAAATTGCCTACTTGTTAGCCAGATCACCCATATTACTTAACTATTGTTGGATGACCTACACCCACATGGGTGAGAACAACCACACGGGTCCAGCACTTTCTACACTTCCAAATATCAACACTTGACCAGTCAGCGCTGTCCCTCATAGACTTCATAGCCCTGTGTAAGTTATGACTCCTAGTAGGGTATACTTGCTGTTCCTTTGCTCACCCACTATTCCATTCAGCTTTAGGAGCCAAAGAAAACATTTAATACATCTGGATATGGAGGAACATGTGACTCACTCTATTAGACAGCACTGGACCAATTAGCGCTGTCACACATAGACTTCATAGCCCTGTAAAGGTTGTGACTCCTAGTTGCATATAGTTACTCATTCAGCATTAGGAACCAAAGATAACACTTGATGTTTCTTCATATGCAGGAACATGTTACTCATTCTATGTGACAGCACTGTGCCAATTAGCACTGTCTCATGGGGGAATCCATAGCCCTATGAAAGCTACAACTTTGGTGACTCTTGCTTACACAGGGCTTTCCTTTTACTATGGTGGTGGGGGCTGTGGACTGGGAGAAGGTAAGTATATGTGCCTGTGGAGGTCTGCATTAAAGTGACAATAAACTCAGGAGTTAAAACTTAAAAATGCATCCAAGAACCTTAACAAAACTGTATCTTATTTGTGTATCACTCGGCTGTAGATCCTCAAATCATCTCTGAATTGGTGCTGACACTGTCCATCCTTCTGGAGGGTGGCTACATTTGGTCTCCATGGTCCCTGTGTGTGTGTTGTAAAGTAGCCACCACACCAAGCTTGCTCCCGTGCTGGACTACAATCTAAATTAAAATTAGTAAACTATTTTAGTATCAGTACTGAACTATAGTGGGGTTTTCTCAAATTTGTCTGCAAAGTGGAAATACACTTTAATGCATTTTGAGTGCAATGCAATTACTCAATCTAACTGAGCTTTTCCAGTTTCTGCCTTTTCCGGTATGTGGGTGGGCAGGTGTTCTATCAAAGATTGTGACTGGGTTGGAATGTGTGACCGGTCACGTGGCCACACATTTTAACGTAATCGCGCCCACTTTTTCGGTGGTGGAATATGTGACCTGCAAAAGAAGAAGAATTCCATCGCTTTTTGTGCAGGAGAACCGATCTGCCCTGGAACAGCTGATCGGTCCTGAAATGTCACTTCTATCTGACTTTGTGGAATGTGAGGTCGCAGTCACAAACTGGGCGGGATTACGATAAAATGTGTGACCACGTCACTGGTCACACATTCTAACGGAGTCACAAGCTTTAATAGAACACAGGAAGAGCAGCAAAAATGTCTTATTGATCATGATTATTCTTCTCACACTTTACAGAACTGTTGTTTTTGCAGTTTCAAGTTGTTTGCAAATGAAGTGGGAACTAAGCAATGTTAATAGCAGTTTATCTTGTTACTTTGTTTTATGTTTTGTTTGGAAAACAGCTTTTTGCTACACAAAGTTATAAGCCTGTAGCAATGGATGAAGACTTTCTGTAACAACATCCTGTTCATGTGTTTTGTGAACGCAAATAAGACACCGCGGGCAATGCAGTTCCAACTAACAAATAAGCCGTAGCTGGAAACGTGAATACATCTGATGGCAACTGTTTAGCCTTCAGCACAAGTACTTTTAAAGCACACATAAAAAGTATTCCAAGTTCACATAACCCGATGAAGCAATTGTACTAGCAGTTTTTATCCTAACTAAGCTTATTTATCTTCCATTCATCGAAGGGCACAGATTTTTAGACTATAACCGCTGGGATATAGCACCACCGTCAGGAGTAGGACACTAAGCACACAAACAAGGCATAAACTACAGGCAGCCCCTGAGGCTCTCCTACTTCTCCTTCATGGGTGGCTTGGAGTGGTTTATGGGTACCCCTGTTTCCCGGCCTCTGTTCCCTGTGTTGTGTTTTTGGGCGGTGCTGATGTAGCACAGTTACTGGTTTTGGGCTGATGGGTGCATGAAGGTGGACAGTGGCTTTCCTTACCACTACACCATACATTGTACAGCCTGGCCGCATGTTTTTACTTTCTGCTGGAGCTCCAGCGCAGATGTTGGCCAATGAGTGGCCATTTTATAAAGTGCTGTGAATTGGCAGATGCTGGCTATAGACGTCATACCCAGCACTCTTCCAC